TGGTCCGTGACCGGGCAGCGGCTTCGTCTACGACTTTTGCGGCCGCACGCACGCACGCAAGTCTGCCGCCGCCGCGGCCGCTTGCTCGCCCACCGACGACGGCGACGAGGCGGCGAACTATTGCGACAGACAGACGGAGAGGCGAACACACAGCCTGTCCGCGACTGGACACCACTTCCCTCAAAGAAGGGCGCGGGGCGAACAGACGGAGCACACATTCGAGCGCACACGAGCAGCACACACTCAAGCACACCGAGATACGGCGAGACACTCAGCCGGATTGTCTTGTCATGTCCCACCTCCTTGTCACTCAGGGGGGCGCGGCCGCACCGTATGCGCGGTGTGCGCGAGCGGGATGCCCCTGTAGCGCAAGCTTCGACGGCTTGGAGGGCCACTTCTGCTGCCTCACATGCTACAACGGCACGCCGTGCGACGCCGACTACCACCGCAAGCCGCAGCGCCGGGCGCGGAAAGGGAGGCGGGCGGCGTGACACAGAGACGAATTAGCGAGCGACCCGGATCTAGTCCAGTACAGTACATAGCGTTGACATAGCGTTGAGGACAAGTGTAAAAGAAACGACATGAGAAAGAATTCTTAGAATACAAGCCTATCGAACACAGCACATTTTATTTTGGTAGAAAAGAAAACCACGTGCGCATCGCGCTCGCCCACCCGGGACATTCGCACATCCGGCCATGACCCATGTCGCGCGCATCGGACCATATCGCCATATCTCGGCGGCTCTCGACCCCCGAGACGGGCACGGCCCACGCGATGCACCCCGCGGCGCCATGCGCAATCAGCAATGCCACGACCACCGTCCGCTCTATCGAAAGGGTCATGGCATGCGGTACACGATCAGATACGACGGGATGGCCGCCTCATTTGTGTAGACCACGGTCTCCTCGTGGTTGATGGCGCCGCCGTCGGCGACGCTCACGCCCACGATGGAGTCGTGGGCGGCGCCCTGGCCGCGCGCAGCGATGAGGCTGTCCACTTCGAACTCGTCCAGCCGGTCTCTCTTGGAGCGGTGCGATGCACCCTCGGCCACCTTGCAAAGGAACATGCACTTGTACGTGCCGCCGGGCAGGCTGCGCGGGTTCTCGCGCTGCGAGCCCGCGTTGTAGTCTGAGAGGGGCGACGCCAGGCGGCGAGTCAAGCGTCTGACGGGCAGCCCGCCTAGCACACTCTAGGCCAGGCACCGTTCGACTTTGACGAGACGCGCGAAAAGTAGAGGCCCTTGCCGTAGCGGAAGAAGCCGGCGCCGAGCCTCCCGGAGCCGGCGTGCTGGAGGTCAAATGAGGAGGCGCAGATGCTGCGACATGGGCGCGAGGGGCGTCGGGTGGCGGCAGAGGCAGCGAGGGAGCGGACCGAGGAAGTCGAGGCGGCCAGCCCTCTGATGAGAGTGTGAGGCGGACAGTGGTGGAATCTTCTCGGAAGACTGCTTCTCGCCTGCACACGGCGCACGCCGGGTCTGTGCACGGCGGCTGCGTCACATCGATGCCAAAGGAGCAGCCCGGGGCCATTGAAGTGCCGTGGAAGCGGCGCTGCTCGTTGCCGACGGCGTTCTTGTACGCCTCATACCGCGCAAAGACTGCTGCGCTGTTGCGCACCTGAGAGGGTGTAGGCGGGCAGTGGAGACGGGCAACGATGGCGGCGGAGAAGGGGTTTGGGGAGAAAGAACAGACCTGCAGCACGCGGCGGACGATCGGCTTCTGCGCGGTGTGCTCCCACGCATCGCGGAACTGCTGCTTGATGCCCTCATACTTGGGGTGCGCATTCGTCAGCACCGAGAGCGTGTAGGCGGGCTCGCCAGTGCGGCCGCGCCAGACACGCTCGACTGCTGCTGCAGGGACGCCAGAGGCGGCGGCCGGCAGCAGGCCGAGGCTGGTGGCCTCGCGTGCGTGTGTGCGTCCGCAAAAGTCGTGGATGAAGCCATTAGTTGGGTCAACGAAGCGAGGGGCGCTGCAGCCGGGCAGAGAGCAGCGGTTGGCCGGTGTGCTCTGGCCCTGCAGCGGCCGGTTCGAGGCGGGCCTGAGCCCGCGGGCCAACGCCTCGTCGGCGTGGCGGCGGCAGCAGTACTCGTGGACGCGGCCATTGTCAAAGAGGACAGGCTCGTTGCAACCTGGCAGCTTGCAGGTGTGGCAGACGCCGTGCGGTGCGGCGAGGCCGCCGCCGAGCGCTTCGCTGGCGTGCGTGCGGCCGCAGTAGTCGTGGGCGATACCCGAGGTAGGATCGATGTGGACGGGGCGGGTGCAGCCGGGGAGCGCGCAGGTTGGCATGTGGTTCGACCTTTTCGGGCGCTTCTTTCTCGTCAGGCTCCGGTGGTGAGCCGGTGGTGTGCCAGTCCGCGCCAGTCCGCCCCCTGTCGTGCGAGGCCGTAAGAATTCTTTCTTGTACTTCCTGTGCCAAGGGGACCGGTACTTCTTTTTCTCGTTTTTCGTGTCTTTTCGTGTCGATTCGTAGGCCGAGTAGCGTGGCGGCCTGAACTACCCCGCACCCACTCGATCGTTAACGAGTGCGTCCGCGACGCCACCTTGATGGTCTACTGCAGCGACTGTGGTTGCGACCGCGCTCGGCGGGACTTCTCCACGCGACAGCTGAAGAAGGAGTACCCGCGCTGCTACGACTGCACTCAAGGCGGCGACTCAAGTTACGGGCAGGAGACCTTTGCTTTTGAGTGCCCCGAGTGCAGCAAGCGCTTCGCCGATGCAAATTCCCTTGCGCAGCACCGGCACACGCATCGGGCGCGCTCCTTCCCCTGCCCGGGCTGCGGCGAGCTGTATCGCGGTATATGACGGACGCTGCGATGCACTTTGAGAGCGGCTCGTGCAACGCCTGCCGAGGCAAGGACGCGGCCCGGCGGGCTGCGTACGATCTCGTGGCGAATCAGCCGGGCGGGAGCCGCTTCCTCACCAACCCGCGCATGCTCACGTACGACGGCCAGGTTGGAGGCGGCTACTCTGACAGCGGGCACAACTACCAGTGCCACGCTTGCGGTAAAACATTCGGCCAGCTCTCGTCGTTCATGCAGCACACGCAGAACCGACCGGCGTGCCGGGACGGCCAGCACGTCAACGCGAACCTCAAGCTGACTCACTCGACGCAAAAGCCGGAGCGGCTGAGGTTCTTCCACGGCACCACGTGGGCCAAGGCGTGCGCGATCGAGCAGCAGGGCTTCGTGCCGTCCGAGAGCGGCTGCCTCGGCAGAGGGACGTACGTCGCGCGCCAGGACAAGGCGCGGCGCTTTGCGGAGATGCGCTCCGTGCAGACGGGCGAGCCCGGCCGGCGCAG